TGATCGAGCTCTGACCAACATAGATTTGATGAAATATTTTGAAATCTTAAAAATCCCACGTTTTTGTGGAGTATTCATGAGAAACAACTTACCTGCTGATGACCCGCGATTTTCTGAAACAGCTATAGTAAATCTTGATGATAAGAATGGACCTAAAACTCACTGGGTAGCTTATCAAAAATGTGGTAATATTGTTGTATATTTTGACAGTTTTGGAGATCTTCAGCCACCTATCGACTTAATGTTATATCTAAAAGTTAATAATGTGAAATATAATCATAAGCGCCATCAAAAATTCAACTCTTACAACTGCGGTCATTTATGCTTAAAGTTTCTTTCAAGACAAATATAACTTTCTTACATCAAGAGAAACCTCTTAGTTGTACTTTGACAATGATGGAATAAACATTAACATTAAGCCTTTCTGGCACTTCTTCTGTTTTAGAAGCACAGTATTTTCCACCTATTGAATTATCGCCAAAACACAGCTACGTTCTTGGCTTAGTAGAACTTTTGTCATTCAACTCAATTCCAAATATTGATGAAAATTGTAATAAATTTTACGTTGACAATCAAGTTATTGTATTGCCAATCGGTAGTTATGAGATCGAAAATATTAAGTCATTTTTAATTGAAGTATTACAACCTCGCAACATAACTCTTGATATTACGCCAAACAATAATACGCTTCGAAGTGTTATCTAGTGCAGCCATACCATTGACTTAAGACCTAAAGATTCTATAGGTCGTCTATTAGGTTTTACTCAGCGAGTTCTTAACAATAACACCACTCATATTTCAGACTTACCTGTAGCTATTCTAAAGATAAACGCATTAAGAGTTGAATGTAACATTAGGAGAGGAGCTTACATAAATAGCAACAAAGTGCACACGATTCATGAATTTTTTCCAGCAGTACCACCAGGATATAAAATTATTGAAGTTACTTCACAAATAATTTATTTACCGATTATTGGACGTATTATTAATCATATTCAAGTACGTATAGTAGATCAGGACGGTAATTTAGTTAATTTTTTGTGGTGAAGTCATAACTATAAGATTGCATATAAAACCCTCTTCATAATAGGTATCTTTTATAATCAAACAAATCATATAGGTAGCTCAATATGCACTCTAGCACTCAGTCAACGACGAGCTCTCAAACCGTTGAGATGTCAGAAAAAACAGTCCATAAAAGCATCGAGACATCTAAGAAGACAGCCAACACGTCGAAAACTAACTCATCAAAACATACAGTTTATAAAAAGTCTCAGTCTAAAAATAAAAAGCCCTGGTGGAAACTAAATCGGATACTTTTTTGTTGTATACAAAATGGACGAGATTCCAAGTATTCAGTCTCCTGTCGCATTTGACGAATCAATTGCGCACTATGAGATTCATGCTCATCAGCCGTATGCATCTTCAACATATGGTAACAGCGATGAAATTCGAATTTCAATTCAACATCAAGATTTGTGTCTTCTACCATCCAGAATTTCTTTACATGTTTATGGAAGATTGGTCAAAGCAGATGGAAATACAGCAGTAACAAATACTGCTCTGATAAACAACGCAATCTGCCACTTATTTGAAGAAATAAGATATGAGATAAATGCCATAGAGGTCGACAAGTGCAAAAATGTTGGATTAACAACTCTTCTGAAAAATTTGTTATTACTTCGTTCTGATTAAAAATTTATGATAAATGCCGGTTGGCTTGGTGTTGGAGAAGAAGCTGATGATCTTACAAATGATGGCGGCTACTTTGATATTATGCTTTCACTGAATATGATTTTGGGTTTTGCTGAAGACTATCGTAAAATAGTTGTTAATGTAAAACATGAGCTTATACTTACAAGAGCAAAAAACGATATAAATGCCGTGTAGCAAACTCCAGTTAATGCTAATGCTGCTGATCCCACGGCCGTAGAAACTTGGGAAGACTTTGAAATAGTAATATTGAAGCTCGAGTGGCTTAAACCATAAGTGGTAATGTCAGATTCTCATAAAATTCGTTTATTAAATTATCTGCAAAAAGACAAGCTTATACCTATGAGTTTTCGAACTTGGGAATTATATGAGTATCCCCTGTTACCTAGCACATCCAAACATATATGGACAGTTAAAACATCAAATCAGTTGGAAAAGCCACGTTACGTTATTTTAGCCTTTTAAACTAACCGTTAAAATCAGAAAAATGTAAGCGCCAGTATGTTTGATCACTGCAACATAAGAAATGTGAAACTCTACTTAAATCCACAATATTATCCTTATGGTGATCTGAATCTTGAAATAACGCGTAACCAGTATGCAATGCTATATCACATGTATGCTAATTTACAAAATTCATACTATGGCAAAGATTGTACACCTTCACTGGGCAAACAGCACTTTCTCAATCGAATACCTTTAATCGTTCTCGATTGTTCAAAACAAAACGAGTCATTGAAAAATGCTCCAATAGATGTGAGGCTAGAATTTTAGTCGCATACAAATTTTCCTGCCAATACGTCAGCTTATTGCTTAATTTTGCACGACCGTATAGTTCAATACAGTCCAATGAGTGGGGATGTCAAGAAACTTGTGTAGATATAAAGTTGATTCAGGGCTTTGCTAGCATCAGTTTATTTTCAACCACAATGGATAAAGGTCAGAGCAACAGCTGGAGTAAAGAAGAAGCAGAAAACAAACGACGAAAAGAAGAGTGGGAAAAATCTATGAGAAGAAACGAGAAGAAAGACATAAGAGTTGATTAAACAAAATCTGCGGAAAAATCAAAAGATAAAGACTGTAAAATTGTCTGAAAATAATAATGTTTAATAAGCTTTAGTTTAATCAATATGTCACATAAACCGTGTACGAGTAATTTTACAACTAATGTTAAGTATCGAAAAATCCCAACTACGGATGATGGTGATAGAAATAAGAAATCTGGGCTGAAAAACTTCATCGATAAATATTCAACCAACAAAGGATCTTGTCCTAAAAATCAAGGTTACGAAAAAATAAAAAATCAATAAAATTAAATACTATAATTGCGAAAGATGGAGTATTTTGTGGACATGCAAGGTTTCAAGAAACCGGGTAATGATTATGTGCTCAAAGAATTGGCTATCCTCCCGCTCAATACTAACGATGCAGAAGCCCAAGTATTTTTTTTTAAAGCACCCTTTAGCTGGCGAAAATTACCTCAAAAGTATAAACATGAAAATTTATACCTTGAACTTTGCTATCATGGACTAACCTGGAACTCGGGAAAAATTGAGTATACAGAGATAGAAAATATTTTACGGGAGAATCTTGAAAATGCTACAAAGATACATGTCATTGGAGATTTAAAAAAAAAGTGGCTTAAAAGATTTGGCTTTAAGGTCACTGATATGACAGACTATCCACCGTTTGAACTCCCAAGATTGGTTACTACTTGCGTACATCACAACGGAGCCTACAAATCCATGTGTGCTCTTCATAATGTGAAGCGAATGAAAAAATTTTACTTTAATATTGAATGGGTTGATGATGATGACGATGATAATAATAATATAGAGCTATAAGAATGCATTGTATTTTAAGAACAACATGTTTAACAAAATCGTTTTGTAAATCATGTACATTTTTCATTTAATATAAACTGATTTTAAAAATAAAACAAAAAATGTTTAACAATTATTTCCCTACCACTCCACATTCTACATTATCATGCAACGCGCTTGCTAACACAAAAAAAGTTTTGTATGCATATAACTACCACGTGCACAAGCTACACACGATTTCGCACATTCCAACAGCGCGCGCAAATCAACGCTGCAGACGACTTACGCACATTGCATCGCGCGCAAACTCACACTGCGTTGCACGTCACCAGCTGGCGCACGCGGCGCTACAGACGCTATTGTACATTGCGCATAAACTCAAACAGCGCGCGCAAACTCAAGCAGCACTGCAGCTGGCGCACGCAACCTCAAGCAGCGCACGCACAAGGAATGCGAGGAAGCCACAGCTCCTGCTCGCCCATTGGCTGCAGCAGGGACCACTCCACCCGAAAAGAGGGGCCGCTCGCCGTGGAGAGGGAGTGGGCCGAAATCGCCTGGCGACTCGAGCCCACCTGGGCCGGAATCGCCATAGCTTATCTACT